TGCCATTAGATGTAAGTCCACCTGCCACGTCAAAGCAAACCTTTTAGGTGGGTCCTAAAGTAACAATTCATCTTGTTTCCTTCAGCTTCAGGTCAATAGAAATTTCTAATGAGACAGAGAGGGGTATATTTCTAAACCCCTACATACTTACCAACTTTATCCTATTGTGCAAGTACCAACCCTATTCTGTTGTGCAAGTAGAAAAATAGAAAAAACACCAGAAAAGCACAAAAGAAATAATCACAACATGTTTTATGCATCGCCTCAATTGAGAATCAACAGCTAATGCTCCTCTTTTTCCCCTTCTCTTTTGTGATTTTTTTTTTACTAGTATGATATTGGAAATGCTGTCTGTATGAATGGCACTGTGTTTTTTTCATATAAACCTTTATTTATTTTTCTCCAAGATGAACAAAGCGAAAATGTATATAAATCATATATAAAAAAGACCAAAATCCAAAACCAAATAAAATACAAAAAGGAGAAACAGGGGCACTACCATCACATCAAAAAGATATGTGCAACTTTTATAGAATTCTAAACATTAGTCAGAATTTTGATATAATATGGAATGAATAATAGAAGAGTAGGATTGAAACAATCTACAGGGTGCTGTAGTGGTTATGGTGTTTGAAATGTTCCTTTAAGTATAGTAATTTAACGGCATAGTACGTTTTGGTTGAGTAAAGATACAGGAAATCACCCAGATTATTATTTTAATTTTATTAAATATTTCCTTTTAAAACAGAATAAAGGAAGGTTCATCCCGCAAAAGTTGTAGCAAGGAATTCATTTAGTTGAATTGACGTTCTGGTTGGTGGTTGTTTTAATTTCGATCTGTTGGTGACAGTACTTTGGGAATGCAACTATATATTTTTGTTACACATACATTTTTATTTTGTACAATATGATAACCAATTAATCCTACATAACAGTGAAGCTTGTTTTATCATTGTTGTAGAGTCCTAATAAATCATTTTTCCATAATAGCCATAGTTCTTTTAAATCACTCATTACAACAACTCTTCAGACAATTATCCATTCTACAAATGATTTGCATGTTATAATGAACTATTAATCACATCTATCCTTTGAGGCTTGTATTCCTCTGCAAAATGAAAAAAAACAAAAACATTTGAATGAAAAATTACCGAAAGATAGAGTAAATAAATAATATGTGATTTGCATGGCTGGATGCAGGATTAACACAGTTTTGTGCTTTATGTAATTAAAAAAAATAACATAAATGAGGATAATCAAGCATCTTTATTGTAACATTTATCTGAAAATTTACAGATCTTGTAAAGGTCATAATAAAGTACAATTGGAAGTTAAAACTCTTACAGATTTTTCATTCCAACACACGTTCAGATTTACAAGTATAATTGAAATATAATCACTTAAAAACATGTGCAAAATGCTAATCATGATAAGAGATGGGCAAATGTCCACACGTGGAAAATTGCATTATTCATTGTCTTTAGGTAATGACATGTTAAATAAATAACACTATTTTCTACAATTTCTTTTAAAGGGCTTTATATTTGGCAATAGTCATTAAGGTATGACATGCAGATGTTTCAAGTACCGAAGTATTCATATACGGTCAAAACTACTAAAAAAACTATTTGTATTAATGATGGACATTTTACCTTTTTAGCACATTTATTTTTACCTCTTATTTTTATATCCCATTTCATCTAGAACATTCATTTGGGCAAAGCCATGTTATGATTGTCTAGTGTTCCTATGCATTCAAGACCTGAGTAATTTTTTGCTAAATTCTTTTTTGTATATTTGGTTTTTCAACAAAGTTCAAATTGAAAACTGAAAAATGTCTAATGTAAAGAATTACAAATTCAAGGTAAACTTGCTAAACTGTAAACATTCTCTAAGTCAGCTATGATTCCAGTTTGCTACTTTGACCTTACATTTAAAATTCACTTTACATTCTCATTATACTGAATAAATCTCAGTTAGCATAACCCCACTCTCCCACCCACACATATTAAATATTGTTTTTTGGGGGGTTTTGTTTTTTAAAGAAAGTAGATAGTGCCTACGAGGGAGAGCTCTCGGCGGTGGTGTATTTTGGATTTGTGCTGCCCTAGGCACAACTAAATTTGCCCCCCAATTCGTGTCAAGTCCACTTTTTTGACTGACAGACACATGCCCTCATTGATACATGCACTTATATACACTCACTGATGGATACACATTCATTGGCATACATATACAGTCATTGGCACACACTGTTTAACCAACACACACTTTCACTGACAGACACACACTGGCACACCCACTCACTGACAGGCACACACTCTCAGATATACATAAAATGACACACATGCACAGGCACATTCTCACTGAAAGATACACACACTTTCCCTCACTCACAGACACACACTGACAGCTACACTCACTCACTCACAATAAGGTGGACAGCCCCAGAACACAAGGCAAAGAAGGCATTTGTCTGGGAGCTTGGGGTGGCATTTTTTTGGTGCCCCCCGAAAGTGCCCCCCTAGGCAAATGCCTTGTTTGCCTTGTGGGAAATACATCCCTAGCTCTGGGTAAATATGTTTATCTTCAGCCTCACCCTAGGACCACTGCACACCAAGCAAGGATGCCAATCGAGGACTTGGGAATTGTTAGAGACAACAAACTATGCAACAATGTGCAATGTCAATCAGCAGTGGCTAAGGCCAGTAAGGTATTGTCATGCATGAAAAAGGTTATTAATTCTCAGGATGAGAATATCATTTTGCCTCTTTATAAATCTTGAATATGCTGTGCAATTTTGGGCAACTGTTCTAAAGAAGGATATTATGGCACTAGAATAAGTGTAGAGGTGGGCTACAAAATTAATAAAAGGAGTGGAACATTTTAGCTATGAAGACAGGTTAACAAATTTAAACGTCTTTAGTTTAGAAAAACGTTGCCTCAGATGGGATATGATAACATTATACAAATATATTTGTGGCCAATAGAGTACAAACCAGTGTGTGGAAATCTATTCACAAGCAGGACTTTACATAGGACACAAGGTCATACGTTTAGACTGGAAGAAAGAAGATTTAGTGTAAGGCAAAGGAAAGGGTTTTTTTTACCGTAAGAACAATCAGTATATGGAATTCTCTGCCTGAAGAAGTGGTTTTATCAGAGTCCGTATAGATGTTTAAACAGCAACTAGATGCATACTTGCAAAAACAGAATATTGCAGGATATAATCTTCCAATGTGGGGTAAATGCTTCTTCATTCAATGATTAATTTGACTGCCATTCTGGGGTCAAGATGGATTTTTTTTCCTAGTTTGTTGCAAAATTGGAAGTGCTTCAAACTGGGGTTTTTGCCTTATTTTGGCTCAAAAGCAAAAAGCAAATGTGAGGAAGGCCGAACTTGATGGACACATATCTCTTTTCAGCCTATGTAACTATGTCACCTATGTGGGACTTTGCAAAATATGTCCAGGTTTACAGAATCCATTATTTGTCTAGAATGTGCGTCTGTTCTTTATAGTTACAGGTCAAATGGTTTTTCAAAGCTTAGATGCTTAATATTTTGATTGGCCTCAGATTAGAAACCTTCCATTTTACATAGTTATCACTTATCGCCAGATTTTGACCTGATGTACACAGTTTTGCTAAATTAACTGGATTTAAATTGGATTGACAATTCTCCTACTTACTAAAGAGTAATCTGGTATAAATTTTATTGCAGCCAAATGAGCACATGCCATGTGGCCATCCAGTGTCTACTTTAAAATCAGTAATTCTATGTAAAAATTGAGGCAGTTTCTCTTGAACAAATCTTGGAGTGCGCACCGAATTATAGAAATTTGGTTGACCCAACTTTGCAGTTAAATAGTGGCCAGTTATGTTGAAACTGAGCATTTGGTTCCCTATATCTATAATTTGGTCTCATATTTCAACAGTTCATTTGCATGTGGACTCTCTAAAATCCAGACTACATTCAAGTTAATTTGTAGGCTGTTTTGCAGAAGCAGAATGTATAAATCTCGTGATCAATATTTTGAATGCAAAGGGAAGATTCCAGATTATTTTTGAAAATTATTCATTTGAACTTTAATGAATAACTCAGTATGAATATTTACGCTGGTCCTGGTTTAAATTTTGGAGTAATACTTCAACTGAATTATTTAAACTATTCCATAAATGCATACCATTTGTAAAAGAAGATACTACATTACCATTTTTGTAATACCTAGAGATATAATGAAACACCATACATCAGCAGTCTCATCGGTAGTAATGGCAATAGCTTCTACAGCTTTCATTACAGTCACTAATATATATATATATATATATATATATATATATATATATATATATATATATATATATATATATATATATATATATATATATATATATATATATAAAATTTCTGGAGATCTAGAGAAGGCAGATGAAAGTCCATATACTGTGTGTTACACGTGGCTGACAGTGACTCTTTCTAATACAAGACGGCTCACGTCATTCTAGTGAGAACGTATGCGCACATTTTGGAAATGATGTAAGATGCTACTCCAGTGCCAACCACTATATATATACCTTAAGCCCTGGAGCACATCACTCGGATGTGGTTGCTTACTGTTCTAATAGTGCTTTTATTCTTATTTGGTTTATTTAGTTTTTGACTCAACTTTTCCTGGGGATTCTAATTAGTTGTTGTTCTGTCTGTCTACAGTTGATTTGGATGTGCCATCTAGCTACTGATAACATAACACTAACAGATTATTGGACAATTTTATTTAGAAAATGTAATAATGGGGGGGCGTGGCCGACTGCTGAGCGGGAAAGTCGCATGGAGTGAGAGCTCCGTATACTAGGCCCAAAGCTACTATTAAAGTGCCACACAGTCGATAAACCCTCTAACCTACGGTACTCAAATGGAAAAACCGCGATGACCCCTTCCAAACAACTGAAAATTACTCATTTGATGCGCTCAGGCAAAAAAGACCACCTCAGGGCAGATGCAAGATGGAGATGAAAGCACGGTTAACTCACCTTTCTCGGTGGGTCCAACTAAGCTGGATCTCGTGCCTGGGTCAACAGAAGACACACCGGTCACAAACAAAAGTCTGCACGTAATGCTGCAGGACTTAAAAACTTCCTTTAGAGTGGACTTCACGCAAATCACAGTGGACCTGAGGAAAGATATCACGGCCATAGGTAGCCGAACCAGCCACTTAGAAACAAAGGCCGAAGAACTGTGCACAGCACACAATGAGGTGGAAGACAGGCTCCAGCAGCTGGAGGAAGACCATCAAGTGCTAAAGCACAAGATAGCAGATATGGAGGACAGATCGCGAAGGAACAATGTCTGCTTCCAAGGCATTGCTGACTCTGTCCCCCAGAAAGCCTTACAGCAATACCTTAAGGCCTCGGGTGCAAATCTGGTACCCCGGCTTGAAAACTCTGCATGGCTGTTTGACCGAGCACACCGCCTGCCCAGACCTGCAAGACTATCAGCGGACACCCCAAAGGATGTTATCGCAAGATTCTATTATTATGGATCTAAGAAGCAACTCCTGACCGCTGCCAGGAAGCTATCCACCCTACCTGAACCATATCAAGGTATCCAGATCTTCGCAGACCTATCAGCGGCCACAATGGCGTGAATTCATCGACGTTACTAAAACTCTTCGTAACCACGACATCCCCTACAGGTGGGGGTATCCAAAGCTGCTGGTGTCATATAGAGGTCGGTCAGTGGTGCTATTGGAACCGGAGGAAGTTGTGACTTCACCACACTCTGGGATCTGCTCCGACCCGCAACCCTGCACCAAGGAAGCTTCATCCAGAGTGGAAGATGGTGGAAGACCCGGAAAGGTCTTGCGGTAGCACTGAGGACTAACTGATACCATCAAGTGTGCATACCAATCTAACACTTGAGTTTTCACTGTTGTCATGCCTGCATATTGAGTTTACTGTTCTGTATTTTTATTTAACAAAGCTGTATAGAAATTGGCATTACAGAGAGGTTGCCCCTGCTCTCCCTTACAAGGTGCTATGTAATTCAACAGGGAAGTAAACCTGTGAGTTGTTCTCCATATGAGTCTATCAGACTGGCTTCTATGTGGCCTTGGGAACACCCATACTGATATAGCGTTACCATTAAACCACTGTCAGCATTAAGGTCTTGGGTAGTGATCACTAGATACAGAGGCAGGCTGTATTTTGCAAAGCAAAGCCGTTAATAATATTATAGATTAAAATACCCTTTGCAGATATATGTTTAGATGAATGGGTGACATATGGGAGCAGGTCTTGGAGGGGCCCAAGTTAGGTAGAGGGGGCACCCCGAGCAGCCACTCAAAGCAAGATGCTGTAAACCTAGGTCGGTCAGAAGACCGGGTAGAGCCACAGCCACTAGACCAAGTGTATTGCCCAGTGAGGGAGAGATTGCACACACAGTATGCCAGATATAGGCGACATGATGCAGTCGATACACACCTACATTTAGGTTGGCTCCGGAAATAGAACCGACAACTCTAAACCCACAAGTTTGGGACAACTATATGGGTGACTTCTAAAATGTAAATTTTATGTTATAGGAATTTTGTTTATTTGGCTCCATGAAGATTTCAAATGGGTTACTTACTGGTGAAGACTTTTACCCCACCCCGCGAACGAATAATGAGCAGAGATCTTCTTCTCTACCACCTCGGTCTTACTCTTGCTGGTTTAGCAAAGATTTTATGTATGTACTTTATTTTGTATTTGCACCATACCATACAAGTTTCATTTCTCCCCATTATCCCCCTCCCTATGCCCCTGTACACCACTCAAGGAACACCTATCATGCAACAGGTCAAATTTGCCCTACCAATGAGGCTCCCAATGCCCCAGAGAGACAACGAATTCAGAGAGGATCATGGTAGCATCGAGGGATGACACAGGAAATCCCACGCCTCTACATTACACTCACACCCTACTTACTGTAGCAAGGGAACAAGCTATCCAAATTATTTCAAAACAATGTCTTCACCAACATTTAAAATTTACTCCCTAAACACTAAAGGACTCAACAGCCCACCTAGCAATACAAGACATGCACAAATCCCAAGCAGCAGTAGTTTGCCTACAGGAGACCCACTTCTGCTCTCGCAATCCCCCACAACTCCATACAAAAAAATATACCCAAGCATATCATGCCTATTCCCCCAACAAATCTAAAAGAGTCTCCATTTTCTTCCAGTCAGACTGGGTATTCCAGGAAACTGAATGATACGCTGACCTAATGGGCTGTCTCCTGATATTGGTGGGCTCACTAAATGGAATGCAAATCACTATAGCATCAATATACTCCCCAAATGAGGCCCAGATACCGTTCCTCCATAAAACAATAAAAAGAAATCTGTTCCATGAAAACAGGCCATACAGTAGTATGCTGGGATTTTAACTGTACCTTGAATGAGGAATTAGATATTAGATGAGAACATTGCCAAAATTAATAGTACACAGTTCTCCAAATAAATGTTTGAACCTGACCTCTATGATTCATGGCGCACTAAGTACCCATCAGAAAAAGACTTCACCTATTTCTCCCAGATCCATATGACTTACTTTCGCATAAACATGTGCTTGGTGGATAAGATAACCCTGCCAAATATAGATGAGGTGACCATAGGAACCCGTACCTGGTAAGACCATGCCCCGGTCACAGTCACATTTCAGATCCTATAACCGGCTAGGGACAGGAGGAAGTGGAGATTCAATGAAGGACTGTTGGATGACACTGCCACTTTGACGACATTTACCAAGGCAGCCACAGACTACTTCACAGACAATATGACTGACTCACTTCCTCTACACACTATTTGGGAGGCAAACAAAGCAATGATGAGAGGGTTATTAATTCAGAATGGTTCACGGCAAAAAAGGAAAATCACAGACGAAAAGGCCTACCTGACATGAGAGCTGACAGACCTCGACACACAAAACAAAAAACCTTCCAAAACTCTCACAAAACAAATAAATAACCTACAAAAGGAGATTAATTTTTTATCAATGCAAGACATTGAAAAACAGATGAGGGTGTTTAAACTGAGGATCTACGTACAGGGAAATAAAGCCGGGAAAATGTTGGTGAATAAATTCAGGGCACAATACCTTCAAACTAAAATTCCCTTCATTCATACACCCGAACATGTGAAATTGTATAACCCCTCCGACATTGTCAACGAACTAGCAACATACTACACTAAACTTTACTACCTAAAAGATGACCCTGCGACCCACCAACCCACCCATGATTCCATAAAACACTTCCTAGACAATATAGACCTCCCATACAAAACTCCACAACTGAGCAGCACCCTAGGTCCCCATTTACAGAGGAGGAGGTCGACAAACTATTCTATCATTGCCTAAGCACAAGGCACCAGGCCCAGACTGGTTCTCTAGCTACTATTATGTTAAATAGAAGCAGGCACTGACCCCCTTCCTGACTTCACTATTTAACGTTATTAAAATCAAAGGATCAATGCCCACAGACATGTTATTGGCTCACGTAGTAACATTGCCCAAACCAGGTAAAGCCCCATGTTTTGTGAATCACGGATAAAACCCTTACTGACAGAGATGGTCTCAGTGGAGCAAGCAGGGTTTGTTCCTGGCAGACAGGCTGGCGATAACACCAGACATTTTAAAAACCTAATGAACTGGGCAAAGTCCAGCAGACAGAAGGGCATCGTTTTGGCGCTTGACGCAGAAAAATTGGGAATATATGCAAGCCACTCTGAATAAACTAGAATTTTATCAAAACCCCTTAGCCAAAGTGTTTAACTTGGGCTTTATGTCTGATGCCTTCTGCATTAGCAACGGTACCCAACAGAGATGCACACTGTCACCCCTCATATTAATTTTATGCTCTGAACTCCTATTGGCCACATGAAACAGCAGGCCAAGGTCACCGGTCTAAACATCCTAGTGCGGCCACAAAAGATATTGCATTTTGGGGACGATCTGCTGATGTTTATCACACAACTGAAGACATCAATCCTGACACTAATGGAGTTACTTAATGAATTTGAGAAGGTATCTTTAGTTTGACACAAGTGGTGCCAACATGAGGAAGGACATGTCTACACTGTCGATGTCCCCATTCTGGGCCCAATTGAGGGCAGATATGTATGCGTTAACTTCAGTGAATGTACCTCTGACACCAGAATGCTTCCTCCTGCATCTCTCCCCCAGAAATCATGACCTTTAAACACAAAACAGTAATATGTCACATCCTCGTAGCTGCCAAAATCAGTATAGCTACCTACTTGAAAGGCACCTTGGTCCCCTCCCTATCTGAAGTGTGGAATAGAGTGCAAACCACTTACGACTATGAGCACATGAGCCACAGACTAAAGGGTCAAGAGCTCAAATTCATGAAAACATGGTGCTGCTGGATAAACAAACAGGGCACACAGAATAAAGTGTAACATAAAAATTCTTAACAACTGGATTTAACATATTAAGTTAATGCGTATGGTGTTTCCCCCTTTTCCTAACCTATACCTACTCCCCCTACCTCTCCATGGTTTCCTCTAAATAGAAAGGTACTCTGGTAAAATAAGGTGACCATTGTGAAAGAATAGTAGCACTACTTGTGCATACGTTGAATGTCTTTTCAAATTGAACAAACTTGGACAAGGATCAATATTAGCAGATGTCAGGAATATGGAACATTCGGTATTACTAATCTAATACCTGCAAATGATACGATGAACAATCTGTCTTTGTAAAAACTTATTTCATTGTAAACACCTTACCGTTATACGAACCGGGATAAATGCCACAATGTCAACCCTTTACATGTTGAAAAAACTTAATAAAGAATTAGATATTTGAAAAAAAAATGTAATACATTTCTGCTGCTCTAGTATTCCTTAGCAGTTATCCCAAATAACAATGCAAACTCCATTTTGCTAACAAGAAGATGGGCCGTCATGTATGCTATGCTAAATCAAAATATGTGGCAAGAGTCAGATAATAATTGTCGAAATAAGTTCATGTTTTTGCTTTGTTCTGGGCTTGTTCAAACTTGGTTTAGCTAATTTTCATATCTACTTTGTTACATAAATGGGGTGATTTTTTAAATATCTAATTCCATCCTTTAACGAGGACAATTCGTACCATACAGGTTAACAAATACTATCGGTAATTCTGCATATTGAGTAGTGTATAAGTCTTTGTTCAATGCTCAGAACTCACTTTTTCATTCTGATTTCTGGTTTTACTTTGGATGAGTCATATTGTGATATTAATAAACAGATAAGCCCATAAAGGTTTAACCTTTGTTTGCAATACATGGATTGTTTTATTTTCCACCTGGAAAGAGCTTATTGTAATTGCATTTACACCACAAAATTAACAGTAACTTAACAAATACACATCTAACGTATCCCGATGCCCTTTTGATTAAATATCAAATCAATGGACAATAATATATGAAGCTAAATAAAAACTTAAACCTGAGCAGAGTCGGATAACAAGATAAGTGTAAAATTATCTTTTGCAGTCTGCCAAAGAGAAGTAAATTTTCAAGTCGTAAGCTAGTAACTGATAAAATATTAAAGTCACCAGTACAGATCAGACATACCAAACCCTGGAGAGACACTGTTAGAAAATAACTGGCCTTCACTAAAGTAAAGTCGGGCAGCTGACTGATTAAACTGGGTTTCAATGCTCAAGGGGAACTGTCTAGTGACGAACCTTTGCAGACTCATGCGCGCACATCACATTCATAATCTTGTAAACAGATATTGTCTGAACAATCGTGGTGATTAAAACAAGTGATATTTACAGCAGGAAAGAAGGGGATTACTAAAAAAGAAATTGTCTGGAATCTGGGAAAAGTATTTATAGTGCTTGTCTGCAAGACAGCTGGTGTCATAGGGCGATAGATAGAAGACTAGGGTGATAATTATGTAAAAAACTAAACAAAAACAAAACAAATGATCATTTCACTACAGTAGAGTTTATTTATTAAACAGTCAATTGATCACCACATTGCATAATTCAAAATAGCCAAGTTGTCTATAGCTGAGCTCTATAAAAATAAATACAGATGTTTTGACCTAAATTTTGCAATTAGTTATTAGTGCAATTAATTTTTTTTTTGGATAACTTAGCATGATAGAGCAATGTTGTCTTTGGAATGTTATTACACACAGGCTTCTGTACAGTACAAAATTGTTCTGTTCCCAGTCATTCTGCCCATTGTGGAATCCTGGTGGGGAAAAAAGTAGATACTTAATGAATAGATTGTTATAGTGAAAATCAAATTCAACTCCACACATGTAATAGATTTGGATTCACTGGATGAATCTACAAAATATTATATTGATCACTATCCACTTAGTATAGTGTCTAGTCAAGAAACATATTGGCTGACTTAACTGCTCGTCTTCTGCTTGTTACACCGAAATACAATCAACCAGGCAGAAATATAATGAAAAAAAAAAACTATTTTGTATTTTATTTTTATATATTATATATTCTTATTATAAATATTGTTTTAAAAAAAATATTATTCACACATGGTTTTTATAGCAATGAAAATTAGACCATGATGAATAGTTTTCATTTTTTTCGGGTTCAAAACATACATTTTTATTTTATTTCATTGTATTAATTATTTTAATCACTACTATTGTTTAGATGTTGATTGTGTGTTATATATATATGTAATGTGATGAGTCGATATCTTTGAGTATAGGTTTGTGCTAGTTCTATTTTCTTTGTAATCAGATACTGTATGGGTCCAGATATACTTTAGTTTTTAGCATTACTGATCTGTATTATGCACTTTAATATTTTATCAGTTAGTAGCTGACGATTTAGACTGTTTTAAACTACAGTCTTACACTTGGAGACTCCCTCCTATTTCACAGACTGCTTAACATCATTTTTTACTTTTCCTACAGTATGACTGTTCAAGGATGAGATTTTAGTTACCTGGGGGATATGCATATTTTTTTCTTGGTTTGTTTATTTTTCTTTATATAAGTATCAGCTATGATAATGTGAGTTGTTGTTTTTTAAATAAGAACTGCTAAAATATTTTTTTTTATTTAGTCTAATTTTTACATGCTTTCCACTTATTTACATTTTTTTTTCTGTTTTGCAAATCCATTCATATTTCTGGGAACAATCATACCTATTTATAACAAATATGGCAAGCCCGTTTTTCACATTCATTTGCATATCCACTACTATTGTTACTTCTACACAAGAAT